AAAAAAAAAATTATGGAACTGTACACTTAAAATGGGTGAATGTTATGCCATGCAAATTACACAGTGGCTGCAACAGGCTCAAACTCGGAGATGACCGAGATGGCACGGGACATGGCCGTGTTTTGTCCTGTTGTACATGGGGTCACTGTGAGTCAGCACTGACTCGACAGCACCCAACAACCAATCATACCTAAATAAAGCGGTTAGAAAATAATACAAAAGGAAGCTGCCTGTAGCCCCTCAGTTCTCACAAGAGAATGATTTTGACCTCCATAGAAAGACATTAGGAGCTCTGGTGGCATAGTGCCTAAGGCATCTGACTGCTAACCAGAAGGCTGCTATGAGTTGGATCCGACTCCACGGCAGTGAGTTTATTTTTTTTGGTACAGAGACATGGGGCTATGTGTGGAAACACGTTTGGGTGTTGCAACTGTGTGTGTGTAGGGGGGCACAGTGCTGGTATCTGCTAGTACGGGTGGGTTGAGGCCAGGGACGCTGCTAAATGTCTTACAGGACATGGGAGACCCCTACCACAGAGTGACCTGGCCTGAAACATCAGTAATGCCAAGATGGAGAAGCCCTGCTGTAGACGGGTACTGTGCCTCCCGTGTATCTGGCCAACTCTGTGTAAGTGACTTTATGATTTAAAATCCCATTCGATGTTACATACCACCTAACTTTTCTTTGCCATATAAGGGATGTTCGCATTGTCAACAGATGCAACTGCTCCCGCCAGGGGTCTCTAAGCATTCCTGACAGGACAAAACCTATCCTCACCCTTGCACATGGGCAAGTCTAGATGAGGTGTCCGGAGGTGAAAGAAGAACCCAGGATCAGCTTTTTAAAGGGCTCTTCCTCAGCAGTAAGGATCCTGCGTGACACACGTGGTTTGTGGTTGGCTGCTGGCCTAAAGGTAGGCGGTTCGAACCCACCCAGTGGCTCCTTGAAGAAAGGGCCGGTGCTCTGCTCCTATACAGACTGCAGCCAAGTAAACCCCGCGGAGCAGTTCCATTCGGCACCACATGGCGGCGCCGAGTCAGGGGCTTGCTTGGACGGCAGCCAATAGCAGCAGCAGCGTCCAGAGGCTCCCTACCTGGTAGCATAGTGGCTAAGACACTTGCCTGCTAACCAGACGGCTGGCGGTTCAAACCCACCAGCCACTCCTCGGAAGGAAGGTTGCGCAATCCTACTTCTGTAGTGATACTGCCTCGGAAACCCAAGGAGGGGTCGCTATGAGTCGGGGCCAACTCGACGGCACATAACAACAACAACAACAACAAAGGGAGCAGCTACAGGAAGACCCCAAACCTTCCGAGGGTGAACTAGCCTCTTCACTGCTGTACAGCCTCCCAGTCCCGCTCCTCCCCCAATGCCATGTGGGGCTGTGAGGCTGAGGTCAAGGACCACCGTGAGCTGTCTTCTCACGGGAACCTGCTTGGTGGCTGCATCGCCCTGACTTGCTCAGCAACGCCCGGTGTCGAAACACAGCACACCCAAGCGTTGGCCGTCTGGCTGGAGTGCGGGTGCTCCCCGAGCTGGTCCTACCACCCGGCCTCCCACCGTGCTGACTGCTCCATATCCTCAAAAGTGAGCTGCCCCCTCTGGCCTGTCTGGAAGGACTTATAGGTTCACCTGCTACCTGCTAGAGGCCTCCTGGGCAAAGTGGATTCCAATCCTCCCAACTTCTTCCCTAACCTTCTCCCAAGAGGCCAGGAGCTGGGAGCATCTTCAGTAGCTCTTCTTTCCGAGAGGGTTTGCAGTTTTTAATGGACGAGGCTCCCATGATAATCTCTCTGCTGTGTCCAGCCCCTGAAGTCTGCCTCTCCCAGCACAAGGGACATCTTACCCAGACTCGAACACCAAGCTGCACTGAGGACTTGCCTTCAATGATACCTCTCATTTGGGATCACAACACTGTGAAATGGGTGGGCACCAGAAGACTGGCTGGCAGAGACGAATCACTGTGCCTCCGTGTGGCGGCCGGGCCAAGCTGTGGGTCCGGGTCTGAGGACCCACCACTCAGATGAATACTGCACATGGTCAAAGTGACCCTGGCAATGGCTCAGGAAGGTGGCAGCTGGAGATCCACATGCACCCCTCCACGTGCAGCCCAGCCTCACTCCCCTCTCAGATGGGACAGTAGGCCACTGCTTCAGCTGCGATGTGCTCAGGAACCGTGTTCTATGAAGACTCAGTAGGTGTTGGTGAGTTGAGCCTGGCTCCTGGTGACCCCATGTGTCAGGCTACAGCTGTGCTCCACAGGCTTCTCAATGGCTGAGTTTGGGGAAGTACACTGCCAGGACTTTCTTCCAAGACTCTTCTGGGTGGACTTGAACCACCAACCTTTCGGGTGGCAGCCAAGCACATTCATTACTCTGCCCTACCCAGGCACCCCATTCTTTAAGCACCAGAATCATGCAGAAGGAAATGCTCCCTCTGGGAGAGGCAGGTGGGGCCCAGATAACCATGGGGCAGGAGCCAACGTGATTTGCTCCCTTGACACAGAGCAGGTGCTCCATAAACAGGCGCTGAATGCTTGGATCTCTGAATGTCTCAGCAGGGATGGCCATAGAAACAGGCTGATGCTGGAAAAGCAAATGGGCTCCACATCCCAAGGCCACGTGGCTAAGGCTCACTTCAGAGTCAGCTTCCTTCACTCATGCTGTCTCCTCTGGCAGGTATCTGACCTCTTCAGCCTCTTGGTCACACCCAACATATGCAGAGAGCATGGTCTGCCTTCCCAGAGGGGACTGGCAAGCACTCAATGGGGCTCAGGTGTGCCAAATACCAGGGATGTTGCACTTCCTGAAATGAGGCAGCCACTTGCCCCAACAGGTGATCAGGGACAGCTGGCAAAGAGTCAGCAGCTGGAGAAGGCAACACCTGGGCAGGTTTCATGCCGCCTTGTCAGGCGGGCAGGTCTCAGGAGGCGGCAAAGCCCTCACAAATTGCAGTGGGAAAATCAAATATACGTATGTATAAAATAAAATCATACATATATATAAAATCAAACCAGCCACCATTGAGTTGCTTCCGACTCATGGCAACCCAGTTGTGTGGTGCAGAACTGTGTTCCATAGGGTTTTCAAGAGTATTCATAATATTGTGATTTACTTACTTTAATCCATCTATGTTGTTGTTGTTATGTGCCGTCAAGCTGGCCTGACTTATAGCGACCCCTCCTTGGGTTTCCAAGGCGGTATCACTACAGAAATAGACTGCCTTCCAAAGAGTGGTGGTGGGTTTGAACCACCAGCCTTCTGGTAAGCAGTCAAATGCCTTAGGCACTATGCTACCAAAGCTCCTAATCCATCAACTAATAGAATCCTATCACAATCCCCAGTGACCCTAAAGAGGGCAGCTGAAGGGTAGAAGGGCTGGTCCAAGACTGCAGCACCCCCAGGGTCAGAGAGGGAGGGCCACCACCAATGGTTGGCCCAGCAGAGTAACTGCTCTGTGGTCCCTCAACTCTTCAGCTCCCCCATGGGGCGGGTCCATCAGAGGCAGGTCTCACCTTTCCAGAAAACCACTTACTCATTACTCATCCAAGTTATGACTCAGGCCGCTGAAGTTGTATGTTGTGCAAACAGGCCCCTGCACAACCCCACCCCCTGTCCCCACTGGATGGTTTTGGGGAGGGCTCTTGGCTGGCTGGCATCTGCCCTGGGGCAGTCCGGTTGGACTTCAGAAAAGCTCTTACCTGCTCAAGAGAGCCTGTGAAGCTCGGGGCATCCAGGACATCCTGCATCTGGCTGTCTGGCAGGAAGTCGAGTTCCATGGTTGAAGAGCCCCCCCAGACGGCCTGGTCCGCAGGGCCGGGAGCAGCGGGGGCCCCAGGCCCCTGGGGTGGCTGGGGCGGGCCATCCACCACTTCTCTATGCTCTTGCAGGCTAGCAGGGTGGAGGGCCAGGCTGTGACCTGAGGGCTCAGGGTTCATAGGGCTCTTCCCGCTTGGCTCATCTGCTTTTCCACTGATAGACTCCACCGGGGAAGGCTGTGCGCATGCACCCCGTAGCCCCTCCTGACTAGGGCCTGACAGTTGCCTCGGATCTACACCTGGACCCACTTCTAAGGTGAGAGGGCTGGAATCGCCAGTACCCACTGTAGGCTCTTGATTCTCCAGAGCAGGAGCCAGGGAGGCTGCAGGGGGCCCTGGGGCATTGCTGGGGGGCTCATCTCCAAGCTCTGCTTCCCCTCTGCCTCCTACAGCCTCTGAGGAGTGTGGCAGGGCCCCACTGTGGCCGCTGCTGGGGGCCTGCCCGTCCAACCTGGCCACCTGCAGAGCCCCTGGTGGTGGCACTGTGGGGTCTGTGATCCTCTCTGTGAAGATGACAACAGGCTTGCTGGGTGTTTGCACATGGTCTGGACAGCCCTGGGCAGCAGACCCAGGTTCTGGGCTCTGAGACACAGGGCTCAGGCCCTGAGCAGGGACTGGAGAAGAAATGGGGCCCAAGATGCCTAGGACACCTTCTCCTTCCTTCTGGGGGGCTCCTCTGTGTAGCTCCTTCCCTTCAGATTCACTGCTTGGTGGAGGCCCCTTTTGGCCAAGACTCTGAGGAGCCAAACCCTTCTGTGTGCCAGGCCTGCCATTCCCCTGCTGTTCCTCTACAAGGCGGGATTCTACTAAGCTTTTGTTTCCACCATCCAGAGCATGGGTCCCAGGCCCTGGCAGATGGTCCTGGCTGGCCCTCTCTGAAGCAGAGGGCATTGATCCCCAGCTCGGGTAGCTGTCGGTGGATGTCACTGGCAGAAAAGCCCCACTGCCTGGCACAGGCTCCGGGGAGAGCTGGCCTTGCTGCTTGGGGTGGGCACCAGTAGCAGCCACTACCCGGTCCTCTGGGCCCCCCTCCTCGGGGAGAGCAAGCCCCAGGGATGCCTGTAGCTGCTGGCTTCCTGCCTGTGAGGCACTGGGCTCCTGCGGCATTTCCTGTGGAGATAAAAAGGCAGCCTGGGGCACTCATGAACGCACCCTTTAGAAGACTGTCCTAGTGTTTACTGTCCCTGTCCTAAGTCTTCCTGATGCAGACGGCCAAGCATCCCCTCCAACTCTGCACCACATGACCAGTTACAATGCCAGGCAAGCTCCATACTGAGGACTGGTGGTCACCAGGAGCCCTTCTTCCACCAGCCTCCTCTCCTTGGGAAGGCCAGGGGCCTTGGGTCCTGGTTTGGATCATGGACTTCAGTTAGGTAATAAGATACTACCATTGGGGGAGGCTGGAGGAGGGTACACAGGAACTCTCTGTGCTGTTGTTGTAAGTTCCTGTGAGTCTATAGTTATTTCAAGATAGATACAAAGTTTTCTTCTTATTAAAAAAAAAAAAAAAAGCAAAGCATTCCTAACGGGTTCCCATGCTCACTGTTCCTTCTCCTTCGCACTGAACAGGGCCTGGCACTGCAAAGGTACACAGTATGCGTTCTAGAATGAATCATAAAAGTCTGACCACGTGGACATGCATGTGTGTGGAATGCACAGGCCTGCAGCAATATCAGCAATCAAGAGTATAGCACGGGGCCTCACACACCCCTGCACGTGTGTGTGCATAGCAGCACTGTTCACAACAGCCAAAAGGTGGGACCCACCCAACTGTTCATCAGATGAATACACAGACCCAGTGCAGTGTGTGCATGGGAGGTGCAGTACTCAGTGGCTGCCACGATGGGCTCAGGTACAGCAAGTACTGCGAGGCTGGCACAGGACTGGGCAGTGTTTCATTCTGTTGCACACAGGGACACTATGAGTTGGAGGTGACTCAACGGCACCTAACAACAACAACAAAGGAGTAAAGCCTTGATACATGCTTCGAAATGGATGAACCTGAGAACACTGTGTTGAGTTAAAGAAGCCAGATGCAGAAGGCCACATGTTGTGTGGTTTTGTTTACACATCTAGACTAGGCAGACTCATGGAGACAGACAGCAGGTCAGTGGTTGGCAAGGGTGGGGGTAGTGGGGAAGAGAGAGTGGCTGCCAATGGGCACTGGGTTTTCCTTCTGGGGTGATGAAAATGTTCTGGAAGCAGACAGTGGTGAATATTCTTAATGTTACTGAAAGGTGCACTTAAAACAGTTAAAATGGTGAATTTCATGGTATATATATTTTATCATAAAAGTATTTTAAACAAGCAAACACTGAACAACAACAAAAGTGTGCAGCTAGCACTGACTGGGCAGTACTGTGGGCTGGGCCCTGTGCTGGCTTTTACATACAGCCTCTCGCCGAGTCCTGGCAGCAGCCTCGGGAGGCCCTTTTCTGTCATTATCTTTAGTTCACAAGGTTAATAAGGGCTGGAGTGTGGCACAGCTGGGACTCAGACTCTGTTCCATTCAAAATCCATGCCCACAACCTCTGCACCCAACTATCCCCTGAGAAATTCTTGTGGTACATGAGCTGCAAAAAAATAAATTCACTAACAAGGGACTGAGGTCTCCCCCAGCAGGCACCTTATAGACAGTGCGGGGATCCTCCCTTCAGAGTTATCAGAGCAGGGATCATGGCTGGGGGAGGGCTGCACTGCAGACTCTGGACCACCAAGGCCTGTGTGTGCAATTTTAGTGAAGTAGGTGTCCTGTCTGTCAAGTCACCCACATCTTCAACTGACTGTGACACTAATCTCCCTCTTCTTAATCAAACTTTTTCTTTTGAGGTAATTTTATTTTGAGGCTCAAATGTAGTGGTAAAAAGTAACACAGAGCCCCAAATGTACCCTTTATGCAGTTGCCCTCAGCAGAAACACTTTGCAGACCTGTTCTTGTTGGGAGGACGGTCTGCTGAGGCCCCTCCACCTCTCACCTGGCTGCTGAAACAAATCTTGAGCCCAGAGCATTCCTTTATAACGGTGGCTAGGAACTGAGCCTTGCTCTCTCCTCCAATTTATTTTCCATATGGGGAGCCTTCTTCCCTGTTCTGGGTACACAGCGAACTTACTCTCTGCCTACACATGTGTGTGATACTCACCTGGCCAACCCCACTCCTCTATCTGTTCCCGGCAGGGAGGGAACAGAGTGCCTCCTCTGCAGCATGAGAGGGGTGCGTGCAGACCACCAGCCCTGCGCTGGCTGTGGGGAATGAGCCGCAGGCCACCAGGGACCAGTGCCCACTGCCGAAGCTCCCTTAGCTCTGTCTCTTCTCTACATGAATAAAGTGCTGTTCCACCCAATGCCTGTGTGTAAGCCATGCTTTTGTTGGTGACTCTGAGCTTTGGCTCCATAATAATCAATGTCCTAACACTGATAACGTAATATTGACATTGATATATTTCAAGCATCTCATTCAGATGTCTCCAGTTTGACTTGTGCTCATTTGGTGTGTGTGTGTATGTGTGTGTGTGTGTTATGTTCTGTACACTTCTATCACTTGTGACAGTTCCTGTATCCATAAGACCCTGAACAGTTCCAATACCACAAGGATCCCTTAGCCTACCCTTTTATATGCACACACTCTCCCTCCCATAATCCCCCTAATCTAGTCTCTCTATCACTGTTATTTCAATAATGTGAAGTAAATGGAATCACACAGCATGTACCCTTTGCAATTGGCTTTTTCCACTGGAGATTCAGCTCACTCCTCACGTCTATCACTAGCTCTTCCTTCTTAATGCTGAGTAGGATTCATGGTGTGGAGGAACCATTCACCGTGGAAGGACATCTGGGTTGTTCCCAGTTTTGGGTGATTGTGAATACAGCTACTATAAACGTTCAACACCCCATTTTTAGAGGTACGTATTACCAAAGATACCACCATCTCCAGAGCACATCATAACACTCTCAACTCACAGAAAGCTCCTGAAAAGCAAAGGGGAGCTGGGGATGAAAAGCCGAAAATGGAAAGCTGTTTCTGTCAGTGTTACTATCTCCATGCACCCTGGGCAAAAGAGCTCTGGCTGGGATTCTCAGCCTATACGACTATGAGACTAGAAGAGCTAGATGGTGCCAGGCTACCATTGTCAACCACTCAGAGGGGGATCTAAGTAGCAGATCCTCGATAGAGTGGGAGAACGATGTGGAACAAAACTCAAAATCATTAAAAAAGAAAAGAAAAGAAAAAGGGACCAAGTTTGCTGGTTTAATAGAGCCTGGTAGAACCCTTGAGACTATGGCTCCTAGCTGCCCCGTGGCTTCCAGCTAAACAAAAGACAGGCATATGAGCTGAACATTTACATTAGGTAGATACACTCCTTGGAGAGATCAA